ACATCAATCCGAAAGGCAACCGCAACGCTTCACATGTGCGCGTGTACACTACGTAGCAGAAGGCGGAAGCTCAAAAGGAGCATCACTCGACCGTGTAGTCAGGTCACTCAGACATTGCGAGGGCAACTGATGCCCCAGAGAAACCCTGGCCTTCCATCTTAGCCTGGAGAGTCAACTGCTTGGCGCATGCCTCGGAGGGACGACTAGCGTCTGCATGGTCGTCCTCCCCCAAGAGGCCTCCGACAGCAAACCCTGTTCGCCCTAAGTGCTTCACGTACAGATTCAGATATTTGATACCACTGTCCGTACGTCCGTGAACGACTTTTAGCTCAACCTTACCAAGGGCAACCCATTGCGAAGTCTTCACTTCATGTTGCGATGAGCTGTAATGATACCCTCCAGGATGTGCTGCATCTGCCCAAGACCCAGTAACGCTCACGTTTTGAAAATACATATCCGCACAATGTCCTCCCAATCGAGATGCAAAGGCCGAGACGTGAAGCAAAGCGTTTGCAACGCTCATTCCGCGTGGGATATTGATCAGAATGTGTTTGCCCGCCTGCATCAAATCGAACCGATCATCGGGAACAGAAAAATTGCAGAAACGTAAGCTTTCGGAGGTCCGCGCGGATTTCTCGAATCGGCGCTGCAGCCCCCTGGCGGCGCCTCTAGCGCCGCCCCTAGCGCGCTCCGCGCGCCAGGGAAGGGGGTCCAGCGCCGATGCAAGAAATCCGCGCGAACCTCCGAAAGCTTATGCTTATGTTTTTTTTTGTTCCTCTGGCTCACCATGAACGTTTTGCAGATGGGGATCACCAACGGCAGCAGCCCCGTCTGGTGGCGTCGGGCTGGGCGTCGGGGCAGAAGTCGGTGCCAACCACACGAAGTTGTTGTCGATCCCCGTGCCCGTGACCCAGTCGATGCGCTGACCGGCGCTGAGGAGAGCCTCCCTCTGCCCAGAGGTCATGGACGCCGCCGTAGGGTTCAGCTCGTACATGATGGCCGCGAGCCCGGAGACGTGCGGACAGGCCATGGACGTGCCCGACATCCAGGACGTGGCTGTGTCGCTGCTTACGCCCGTCGATTTGATGCTCGAGCCCGGAGCCCAGACATCAACTTTAGAGCCGTAATTGCTGAAACTGGACCTGGCCCCTCCCGACGCATAAGATCCCACCGTGATCGCCGAATCGATCCAACCAGGATTGTAGCCAGACGCATCACTGTTCTGGTTCCCTGCAGCCACCACCACGGTCACTCCGGCGGCCACCAGCGCGTTGATTGAGGTCTCCTCGGCGACCCAGTTGCCAGGGCCCGACAGACTCATGCTGACCACGGCGGGCTTTGGGCCAGTCGACAAAACCCACTGCTCGGCTGCAATGGACCTGGGGAAACCAAAAGGTACCGATACCGCTACTCCCTGGACCTCGAGGGGTGCGTTCTGACCAGGATTTCGAAGCGAATCCAGCGGTGGCGACGAGGGCCTCCGAAGAGACCCCAAAAGGGGAAAACGGGCGAGGTTTGTAGAGGTATGGGTACTTTTTCCTCTTCTGAGGACCAGGAGATGTAGCCGTCGCCGTTGTCATCGAGGACCTTCATTGCCCAGAGCTTCGCGCCATCTGCGACGCCATACGTGCTGGCCCCCACCGTGCCCGCGCAGTGCGTGCCGTGCCCGTGGCCGTCTGCGGCGCACGTGGTGCTGCCGCTCGGGCACACTGCGAGGACGCCCGTGGCGGCCACGTCTACTCCAGCGAAGGCCCTACCTGAGGGGCAACGATAGGGGGGGACTGGCATAGTGGGGGATACATCGACCTGGAATCGGCAATACATCGCCGATAGATCGGCGATGGGCCGACGATCGTGAATCCGCACCTTCCTAGGCAGACTAGGGCCATCGGGACCCTATCGGTGATCAATGGGCGATTGGGGGTCGATGTATCCCCCCCTATGCCTATCTCCCCCTATCGTTGCCCTTGACGACCCCCGAACTCGACGTGGGTTGTGCGAATGCCGGTGTCCAGCACATACACGTTCACCCCCACGCCCCGTCCGCGGACCACGTCCGCATTGATGTCTTGGATGCCCCATGGGTATGTCGAGGCTACAGAGACTCCTGTGGATGCCTCATCGATAGCGTCTGGAATTCTTGATTCGAAGAAGTCCTCTTCGACTGCCTCCACAAGCCCTGGGTAGAGCGCCTGGACCTTCTCCACCACCGTCGCGAGTTCCACTTCAGTCAAATGCCCCTCTACAAATGGCACCTCACCAATGTCCGGATTGGTCGTCATTGCCGTCGGATGGAGCTCCTGGACAACGCTTTGCAGCATATCGCCCGTAGCACCTTCCTTCATCATGAACATCCACGTCGACGTCTTATTCTCAGTGGCCTCAGGTTCACCATCGACCGTACGGCGGTCATTCGGCGCACGGCGGTATATACGCACGCCGGCATGCGTGAAGAACTCCCTCCCAAAATCATCCTTCGACGCTGTCGGAGTCGACCACATCTGCATCAGCTCGAGGTCGCCTGTAGTTGCCAAGCCAGCAGCATAGCGGGTCCCAGCAAGGCTGACGATCAGGAGAGCACGTGCCATCTGCACTGTGGAGAAGACAAAAGCAGAGTGTAAGATGAAAGATGTGATTGCGTGCGTACGACTGTGAAAACGAGCCCCCAAATGGCCAAAATTGACTCCCGAAACCCCAGGATGTCCTCGAGGCTCCAGGAAACTGAAAAGGCGCCATGGTCGTCCATCGAGGGGATGGCCCAGGAGACCCTGGCCCCAAACCTCGGACGGGGGTGGGACATAAATTCCAAAACTCTCTCAGAGCGTTCGTGAACGCTCTGGGAAGGCCGCGGCGCCCAATACATCTCTCAGGACCGTTGGATCTCAGAGATTCTCGAAAACTCCCCACCCGAATTGATCCTCGTCCTGGTTTCGTCTTATGTCGCCCGTCACGAACGCATTTCAGTCTGATTGTTTTGCGAGTACCTGATGGCAGTGCACTGTCAGAACTATGATAGAAAGCGCTGCAGGAGATGCGAAAAACAAAACGGGAGCCCCAGCATCAAGTACCCCACTGCTTCTTTCACCAGCGGGGCGGGTTTCCGAAGCTCCCCCCCCTGAGCAACCTAAGGGAAAACCCGGGATTCGCTTTCCAGTGGGGGGAGGTCCGAAGCCTCCCCCCTCAACCCCCCTTTGCGAAGCTTGGAGCTGCTGGGGCTCGGGGAGAAGGGGTCCGAAGCTAACCCCCCCTTCTCTTCTCTCGGGGCTGAGGGCAAGCACGGGCTTACTGGTGAGGGAGAAGGATATTCCGAAATACCCCCCTTCCCTCTCTGAGTTCTAAGTTTTTGTGGAACTGCTGGACGTTGGTGCTGTTGCTGTCGTCGTTCTCTTTATCGTCGTCGTCGTCATTCACATCGTCGTCGTCATTTCAGGTCCTAGGGCTGAGGGCTTCACGCCTAGGGCTTGGGGCAGAAGGCTTAGGGCTGAAGCTTTGGGTTCAGGACTCAAGGATGAGGACTAAGGACTGACGCCGTAGGGCCGAGGGCTTGGGGCTGCTGGGGGCAAGCGTTTAGGGCTTGAAGATCAGGGTTGAGAACACCGGGCGTAGGGCTTAGCTCTTAAGGGTCAGGGCTTGAGGTGTGCGGTGTTCGGGCTTCGGTATTAGGACCTATGGCATAAAGGCTTCGGGATTGGGCCATAGGGGTTAAGGTTCGGGTTTAGGCTCGTAGGGGTTAGGGTTTGGGGCTTGGTCGCAAGGCTCAGGGTTTTGGGCGAAGTGCTAGGGGCATAGAATTTCGGGCTAGGGTCAAGGGCCGAGGGCTGACCGCGGAGGGCCGGGGACTGAGGTTCTAGCACTGCGGGCCCAGGTACCAGGGCGCACGGGGTTTAGCGCGAGGGCTCAGGGCCGAGGACTTGGGGCCGAAGGCTCCGGCCTCAGGAATTGGGCATGAGGGCCGAGGTTGAAGTCTTAGGGCTGAGGACCTAGGGCTAAGGGCATAGAGTTTGGGGCTCAGGGCCGAGGACTTAAAGGGCTTCGCACTCAGGTCTCAACGCCTCCGTCGCCCCTGGAGCCGCCCACGGGCAAAGCTCCACTCATAGATCGCCTGTCCGTTGCACTGGGCGCAAATAGCCGTCGAATCCCCGCCGAGTCTGCAGAACTCGCACAGCAACCCTCCTCGCTCGTCGGGTCGCGGCCACCGGCGATCAGTCCGACGGTCGGCAAGCTGCGCCCTCGGTCGGGCGTGGAGAAATACCGATGCACCACGATTCCCTCCGGAGGCCCGGGCTCGTCGCTGATCTCGTGCCAGGGAGACTTGAAGGTGCACTTGCTGGCCTTGAGCTTATCCGATGCCCTTTGCGTTTTCGCCTTGGTCAGCCCCGCGCCCCCAAACATTGACGAGGCCTCGCCAGTCGCTGCGCGCCCACGCAGCGGGGTTGGGCGCGAAGGCCGAGCGGGGGGGCTCAGGGGCTCGTCGCACGACGTGTACATACGGGAATAGCTTTGAACATATGAGTCTGGATGGCAAACCCGAGCCAGGCAAACTACTGGTCTACTCCATATTACTTCGGACGTTGCTTACATGGAGTTTGTTGCCGTCTCCACAGCTGCTGAGCTGCGTCGCGTGGCGAAGGTGGCTGCGCATGTTGGCAATGCGGCTGTTGCCGATGATTTCGAGCTCGTTGCTATCGTCGTCAATGATCGCTCGTGTTGATGTTGCCAGTGATGCCAGGCTTGCTATTGCCGTCCCTTAGATTGCTGAACTGCCTCCTCGCCTCCTCGATCCTTGGCCCAGTTCTCCTCCTCCAAGCTCCTCCTGATATTCGCAGTAGTCCTGCTGGTGCTGCTGCGTGTTGTCTCGGGCTCGTTCCCCGTCCCTTGTTTACTGCTTGACGTTCCTGCTCTGCACCTCCAGCTGCGCCCCCGATGCCCGCCCCCATACAATCCATAAACTCAGCAGTTGCGCAGTGGTTTGCAATGATGGACGCCGAAAGATGCTCATTCTCGGACCTGGCTCCAAAATCCATGGAGATCTCCGTCGCGCACGGGGCCCAGCGGGCAGGCCGGCCCCGCCCCAAAGTTTCAGGACGCTGGCCACCTACAACGGAAAATGCCCCCCGCCAGCGCGTGCCAGGGGAAGCCGACGTCCGGCCAGGCTGATCCAGCTCCGACTGAAAGTCGCGCGGAGAAGCCTTCAGCTCCACGAAGATGGTCTCGGACGGGAGAAGTGGAACGGCGCCCTCGACCAAGCAAGCGAAAATGGCGCCGAAGTTATTCCCCAGCATGCTGGCGTAAATGACCCGTCGGCCGCCGCACAGGCGTGGTCGTTCCCGAACCGATACTTCTCATGGCGGGGAACCGTCTGCAGGGTGATGTCGCGCTGCTCCTTGTAGTGGTTCGCCCACTTCTCGTAAGTGTCGATACCCACCACGATCAATCCGCAAGCCGCATCCACGGCTCCCCATCCAGGCTTCCCTGTGGACTCGACGTCGGTCGTTACATTGATGATTTCCACAAGGTTCGACTTGGATGCCATCTTTGCCTCCGTCGCGATGTGACTGCATATCGCATCATCCTGGAGCACGGCCATGGCCACGAACCTTCCACGGGTTTCGTACACGTGTTCGGATTGCCGGGACACTCGCGACGCCAGACTCCCAGCTTCTGGCATGTGCCGAACTCGGCTCGGTTCTTGGTTGCCGCGATCGGTTCCTCGACCTGCTGGCGACCCGTGGTCGCGCGAGACCCTCCGATGGCACGCTTGTCGGCCACGATCTTCCTAGCTTCGCCCCACGCTCACGGTTTCGAGGGTGGTGGTCTGATCGCCGCCAAACAGTCCAACACATCAGCCTCCAAAACGATATGTTCGTCGTCCGTCTGGCCCTGACCGTTTTGCCCGTTGTCGTCGTCAACGCATAGCAAGTTAGCCATCGCGTCGTCAAACATGTTGTCCGCCCCTGCGCCTACCAGTCGTGATGGTTCGTCTTCGTCAAGTCCCGCCTTCGCAGCCGTTGAGCGCTCTGTAGCACGAATGTCGTCACTCATCCTCTTGAAAATCGAAGCGAACCTGTTGACGTTGTGGTCGTAGCCCGTCTGAATGAGTACCTGATTGCGTTCCGCCTTGGCTAGACCAGCTCATCGCAGTAGTAGGAACCCATGATTGCGTCATTCAGGACACTCGGTAGGAGCCTCTCCAACTCTTCCCGATCTGCACGCATCCTGCTGATAAACCTCATCGGTGTCTCGTCCCTGGCGCGTGGTGCTGAGAAGGGAGTTTTCGCGAGCTGCTGGGCACCAGAGGCTACACAGAAGTAGGTTGAGAGAGAAAGATCACAAGCACCTTGTCCAACACAACGTGTTGCATTCCTGACAAGAGGCCGCAGGCCGCCTTGCCTGAACCCAAATGGTTGTAGAAAAGGGTTCGGGTTCTGGCTGAGCTGGCACAGCCACTGTAAGGGCACGCCGAGCTCTCAGATGGAAAAAAACCCTTAACAGGGGAAGAGGACGGCTGAAAGGAAGAAACAATATGAAAGGAGAAGGATGGAGCACAAGGGAGAGTAGCAGGGGAGCGGCTAGGAACAAAAAAAAACTTGGCATAACCAAACAGGCAAATCGGGCGGGTAGACCCGGACGGGCAGGGCAGGAAAGCGGCCCCAGGAGGCCATCGAGCAGGCGAGTTGCAGAAACGTGCGTCCTGCATGAGTCGCGAGGACAACTCGAGCGATACCGCGACTCTCGAGTGCCAGAGCGAGAGCCTGATTCCTAATTTTGAGGGCGCGGCGTGCCAACAGCCACGCGGAAGCGCGATTCTTGCATAAGTCGCGAGGACGTTTTGCGCGAGAGCGCGATTCTCAACTACATTGTGAAGAAGCATTATGCGGGAGATGTTGTTGTTGCTGTTGTTGGTGGTGGTGCTGTTGTGTTTACTGTTGTTGTTGCTTAAATCCGGGAGCCGACCACGCATTCTGAGCCTCAAGACATTCCTATACAGAAAAAAATGAACGAGCCCCGGGAGGGGCACCTTAATTCACAAAAAAAAAAAACATGGACACTGGGGGAGGGATCAACAGCAATTAGCCTTCAGACATGGAAATCCAACAACAATCCACACCGCGGAACCCCACTTCGGCCACGCACCCAGGGACTGTGCATGACCGTTCGGCCCCCTCACTCTGATAGATGCACACACAACTATTGTACAATCGGGGATCTACTGACCCAGGTCAATCCAGACCCAGGTCAGTCAGGCTTTGCAGGATCCTGCTAGATCCTGCAGGGTCCCGCACACAAACCTGGGTCAATGCGACCCTAGCTCTGCAGGATCCTACAAGATCCGGCGCACTGACTGATCATCGTTTGCATTGACCCCCGTCTCTTGAGCCCCGACATTATACAAAGCTCCATGTTCGGCGCCGGAACTGGAAGACCTTGAACTCCGAGTTTGTTCCAGCGGATCGCTGTACGTTAAGTCGGGCCTGCCCCCCTACAGGGGGATTTTCGACG